GAGAGAGAGAGAGAGAGAGAGAACGTAATCGACGTCGACATTTGGGTGTGCAACACCTCGCCTCCCCTCCTCGCCTTTGCAAGCACGCTACCATCGTTGCTCACGAGATCGATTTGAAGATGTCTCCAGGATTTTATGCATATAGAATAATCTCTTTCGTTCCTCTCGGTGGTTCGTGCTACTTGAACTCTTACCTTTTTCTCGACCTTGAAATGATGCTCGAACCGGCATTCACCCTCTATCGCACATGGCGACGTCGTCACTTTAATGCTAGGTAGGTGCCTTAGGTTTGAGCGTAAAAGGACTGCAGCAGCGAACACGGAGGGTACGGCTTTCGCAGATCACATAATTGCCTCCTCAAGCTCGTCAGAATCGAGCTAAAAAATGCGCCCATCTGACTTCATACAACCCCGCCCTTCCCACCTTTTAATCGCGCTGTCTTCGATCGTTTTCGGGTCCCCAGCAACTCGGACGGCCAGATCGATTTTGAGGAGTTCCGGGCGATGGACAAAGCGTTCCCCTTGCTCTTTTTCCCGGCGTTCAGGCTTCAGGATTCCCTGCAAAAGTTCTTCCTAGGTGACGGAGTGGGAGGAAGAGTTTTTTTGTTGTCTACTCGTCTCATTTGAGTGTACCTTCGAAGAAATCCCATGAAACCTTCAACTGCTTCCTCCACGGACATGTTGCAATTGTTTGTTTACCGGAGCCAGGATAACGAACGCCGCCGTACACAGGCACAGGAGCAATCTCCCACAAGCGAAAGCAGTAGATATATCATCCTTTGGGACAATGAGTCTTGCGCGCCTCTCTCGTGCTGATCGGCGCCTGCTGATCTACCACTCTCTCAACCGACATCTCCACTACAAATACTGGAAATTTATGCGTGCTGCATTTGGAAAATCAACTTCGCCATAGAAAATTCCTCCAGTCTAAGTTCGGGCATTTTTGTTTTGACCACGGGAAAGAACGAGAAACTGGCCATCATCGAGAAACAATCTGCTCCTGTCTTGGGAGTTATGTTGTTAGCACGGTCTCGCACAGCCCACCGCAGTATTTCTCCCTTTCGCAGAGTATTATGTACCAGAACCTGTCTCCTCCTGCAGCAGGACTTCGTTTTTGCGACACAGAGAAAACAACTGCAATTCATTCCTTGATGCAACTGTCTCAATCAAACATTGCGTTTCTCCGGCAGGGAGCACTTTCTGGGTAAAGGCGCAAGAAGGCGTCCTAGCCCGGCAAGGCGTTGCGGAGTATCAGGCCACCCATGGCGGCAGGGTGAGAACGATCTATTACGTCGAACCTAGCAGCCACTCGCCACAGTTTTCTTCCCCCTTCCCTCCTCCACATGCTTTCCTGTCATGGCCTTTGGAAGCCTTCGGTGACAAGGGCAACATCGGCGAAGTCAGGGAAGATGACCAGGAGATTCTCACTCGGGTTCATGACCCAACGCCAATCACCCCAACACGTTTCAGCGTGCGCCTGAAAGCAAGAATGAGTCAAATGTTTCCGCTTGGGTTGATCAGCGCTTCCCTCAGCACCCAATAATATCCTTGTCAGTTTTGACCTCAGAAGACGCAAACCGTTGGCCCCTTGAGCGAAAGTGAGGAGATGAGCAATAGAGAACGCGTGGAAACATGGGTAGTGAACCAAATATCTACACAAGGTTATATTTGCGTATGGAGTGTTGCACCACTGGCCGTCCCATGTACCCCGTCTTGAAGCAGATTTTTGACATCCTCGCGAGGTATCTTCGAGGGAGAATAGCGTTAAGCTTCAAAACCGCTGCAGTCCGAGTAGATGGTAGGTCCGATTTCATACATTTCCAAACTCGGGGGTTCCTGTTATATGTGTGCGTACCCTATTTGTGCTCCGATGGACGACAGACATGATGATGAACGAAATGATGTACGGGAGGCGCGAAAGCGCACACTTTTTGCGTGTAAGTGCCGCTATCACGCTTGCTGCATTGTTTGGGCCGCGACATTGGTGCGCAATTCGTTTGGCTCCAAGAAGAGAGTTCATGAAGAGTGTTAACGCCGCCTTTCAGCGCAACAACGCGCTTGCTTACTCGAGTGAACTTGTGCGGTGGCAGCGGGATACACTATATACAATGCTATGCGCCAATTCTGCTCCATGGATTGACCACCTGATACGCTGTTTCTTTTTTCGCGAACGAATACACTAGGCCCCGGACAAGCGCGGGAGGCAAGGACGATTATGACGAACAGGCGGGGCCACAGCGAGAATATATTTTTCAGACCCCTGGCCGCGATGATACCATCTTGAATTTTTGTATGGGTATGTGGGTACGAGATGTGGAATCGACGATTGCGCCTGGACGACGTGCGTGGAAAAGAAAGGTGGAACGAACGAATGTTGGTGTCGCGCCGAAAGGGTGAAAGCCAGATGTGCACATGCAGGAATTGGTCAGCGGGTGCTGTCTAGTATTCGTGGTATTGCGCGCTTGCCATTGAGGTTAGGGGGCGAAGGGGGCGAGGGAGTTCTGCAAAATAGACATCACCCTATCATCAATGACGGACCGAGAAATGCCTCAAGATCAACGACACACATAATGGAGACAACCTTTAGACTACTGGAAACATTCGAAGGGTTGGCTGGAAGGAGCAGCGCCCAATGAACCATTGCTAGCTAGGCTTTCGTCGACCAAGACCATACTCACGGGGCAACGTGGCCGACAGGGGGTTCGCCGGGTATCGCCATTCGTTGCTGATCGCTGCCAAACGACGAACCTCTGGAGGGATGCCAGCGACAACGTTCTTGTCACCCATTCGGTTCACTCTATCTTCCCCCTACCCAACTGAGAAATATTTCTTTGGCAGTTGGGATACTAAGGGTAGTTTCACGTCACAACAAAATGAAATAGAACCTTACCGATAAGTTCCCTGTTGGTTTCCTCACTGATCAAACAAGGAGCGAGCGTGGGTAGCAAAAAGGAAGAATTTCCTGCGTATGCCCCCTGCTTCCTCTTTTCCCATATTTCTCCTCCAAGGCTGACAGTTCATGTCGAATTGTGGCAGAACCTCAGTGACAACCGCAGCCCGCGATAGTACAGTTGCGTGCGGTGCTCTCGCGGACCAATTGATCGTACTACGCATGCAGTACTACATAATTGCTTGAAGATGAATGAAGGCAAACGGTGATGTCTATGTTTTTTTCCACCCTCATCATTTGAATTGATCTCACTAAGGGTTGCACCAGTGCGGGCGTGACATGGTGTTTGACCCTTTAGCCAAGATACGATCTGTGTGGGGGGTGTACTCATAGTCGTGCATGCCACAGTCGTTAGACCATTGACCTGTCATCCCTACAAAGCCGTTGCGGAGCACGCCGGGCTCTCCCCGGGCCAGCCTCTCACATCACCAAGCGCGAAGATATCATCTGTCTCGGATTCATTCCCTATTTATTGAGCAATGCGGAGGGGACCATTTATTTTTTGCGCCAAGCAAAATTTGGTGCACATGCGTGATGGTTGACTGGTTTGGTTTCCCTCTACAAGATCCACAATGAATGGTGACTGGTTTGCACAAACATACTATTTCCGGCGGACAACCCCTTCGGTTCTCCCATGCTTACCTCGAGCGCTTCACACTCCATATCTCTGCATAAAAGCGGCGGGAAATAGACTGGGGGTGTTTTCCATCAGTCGAGCTGTGCCAATGGCAAGGTATGCTACGGACCGATGATATCTAGAGCTCTCACAGAACGGAGAAAAGAAATGAGTGAATGAATCAATGAATCAATGAAGATTACGTTCAGTCCTGAACCACGCACTTTTTTGAGCCAACCGCCGAGGCGTGAGAAATCTCCACGGCCATCCTGCACTATTTTAGACGCCCTCAGCAAGTTTAGCTTACTGCTTTAACGTTTGGTTGTGTCGGTGATCGGCCGTCTCAATCGCGAAACACAAGCGAGCGGCTGGTCCTACGGACACCAACTTGCTGGGATCCCGATCGATTGGTGCGTAAACGTTGCCTATCCTCCACCAAATCAAAGCCCCGTACAATCTAAAGCTGGATTGACAACTCCTTCCACGCTGGAATGGCTGTGTGTCTGCCAATTGTTCCTGTCAACGAGAGGTTCGGGACACCGCTGCAAGCTCTCGACGCGGAAGTATGTTCCGCCGCAGTTGGCACACGCACTAACATTTTGACATGATGATATAGGGTGAGAACTCATCAACCATGCATTCCATTGTACATACAGTAACTCCGATCTCGGCCAAATTGCGCATGCATGCGTATGGTTGCATGTACCTGCCATCAAATTCCAATCTACGAGGGATTACCCGCTTCGAGGTCGGGATAAGCCTGCCAACGACAGGGTCTGGGCACACCTCTGCCACCTGCCCCACGACGGAGGCTGCTTATTCCGCCGCCTTTCGGCGGTTAATTTATTTTGTTCTTGTTGATACATACGCGCTCGAGCATATTTATTTATGTAGATGTTGTGCCATTGGGTTCATGAATTTTATTCTTCTCACTGTAGACCGGCACACGAGCGGACTCCTTCTTCTTCGCATGGAACTGGACCTATCCTTCATAACGTTGAGTTCAACTGTATGTCGGCTTCTTTGACAATGCATGTTGTGCCATTGGGTTCATGAATTTTATTCTTCTCACTGTAGACCGGCACACGAGCGGACTCCTTCTTCTTCGCATGGAACTGGACCTATCCTTCATAACGTTGAGTTCAACTGAAATTCCGCGTTTGTTTGCAACACACGGTGGAAACGCGAGACCACTGCGAAGGTGTACCGATTCTGGAAAAAGTCAATCGACGGATACCCTGCGAATCGGGTCCTCCTTAACACCACCCCGCAAAACAACGAAAACCTCTTGAGGACCAGCACGGTTGCCCGAGGCAAGCTTCGATACCAATGATGAGTTGTACCAAGGGTGCCCGAAGAACAAAATTTCCGACACCTAGGTATACATTTTCATATTTGTTTTTTTTTGGGGGGAGGGTAAGAAATAACCACCCCCCCAAAAAACGCCATACTAAATCCTATATAAACCAATGCCATACTAATTCCTTTATAAAAGGGGCACCGTATGACGTAGGGGGATCTTTGGGGATCTGCGTGCCCCCTAGCCTGTGCGCTGCGAGTGTGGTGCGCCCTGGGGAGCCTGTACGCTGTGTTGCGTACCAGGGAGAGCATCATGAGCGCGCCCTCAGGGGGGATTGTAGGCCAATACAGAAATGGGCCCTCTATAGTCGCGGGGTTGTGTCCTAAAATTTTACCGGCACTATACCGGGCACCGGCGCTATTCAGAAGTGCTTCATAGTGCCGGTGCGGCACTATTCAGGGTTGGGTTATCCCTCGATAGTGTCGGTCCGGCACTATTGAGTAAGGTGGTGTTTGATTTCATGGTGTGGTGCTCACGCTTTGCGTGGCCGACAAATACAAAATGGATCAAAATTGTGTATTATTAATAGTGGACGAAGCTAAATCTCAGTCACCCTCCTTCGATGTTGCAAGATAAACAGAAGACAAAACGAAAAAGAAACACGGCAGGAAGTGAGCTGCTAAAAAACAACCAACCATGTTGGGAATCCGTGAACGAACATGGTGCTGTGAAAGCCGCGTCTCATTTGGGAGTACTTTTTTGCGTTGGGTCCCGGAGAAGCAGGGTTTGGGCTGGCCGTTATTTTCAAGACAAAATTAAACCGGCCGATTTTTTCGCTCAAACTTGGTGTGCGTGTAACCACCGATGCCAGTCGAAGAATGATGGCCGTACCATAGCGTAGTTCATTCATTGTGGTTCAAGAGTTATGACTGAGTTCCTGCAACATATGTAACTTTGACTGTACCTCGATCGTGGCACGCACATCGAGATGCGCCGCTGTGTTATCGAGTTTGGACCTGAAATTTGGCATGTGATTTGGAACGTTCTCGCCAAGACGCCACCGGAAGACCCTCAGCATTCTTTTAATTTTTCGCCGACTTGCGCCCGTCTTTTGTATCCCTGAAAGGGGAAGTTGGCCATATCTCGACACTCGAAAACAAAAAAGCTTAGGGTCTTCCGGTGGCGCCTTGGTGAGAACGTTCCAAATCACGTGTCAACATTTCAGGTCAAAACTCGAAAAACTCAGCGCCTCAATCCCAGCCGTCTTGGCCGGACCAGCTTGTATGACGTCATATTTTCCACAAGTGGTCGTTTTTTCTGGATCTTTCAGGCAGGACAGAGCTAGCCTCTGACACGCTGAGGTCACCGCTCACCGGGAGTAAGAAATTGTTGGCCATCCTCACAAGAGACGGAGGAGGACGGTGGGACGGTGCGGTACCGAGGTGGTCCAGGACCGAGGCATGTGGCCAGAGTGTGAGTGTTAAATGGGGGAAGTATCTGAGTGGTCAAGCTTTGGCAGCTTGGAGCAAAGATGGTGGGGGGATTGGGGTACTGGGGATAGGCCAGCACACACGACGTGTGGAATGTAAAAGAGAGGTGCACGACAACCACCAACTACATATGAACATCTCCTTTTGCTAGCCTGGCCGCTCATGATGGTTCTCTCCAAACCTGGTAGAGGCTGGCAATACATATGGATCCTTTTGGTTTTGGTTTTGCAGTTGTGTTACTGCTGTACAGCAGTAGTACATATTGTTCTGTTCCCGCGTACCGCACACAAGATACCACCCCCCCGCAAATCAAAGCTCGATGACTTCCTACGAAATTGGATGCCAGAATCAAATGACACTGCTGCTGTACCCTTTCGGAAAGCTCTCGACGCGGCAGTTCCGACGCCGCCTTGTCGGCACAACGTAACTGTCTTTACTGCAGACGCGGGCTTTGAAAGCAGCGGGAGGGTGCTGCGTGATGGCAGTGGCATTTTATGCTGCTGTTTGACTCTGTTTCGGAACATTTCCCTCTGCTCGGCAGCATACCGTATATGACACAAGATAACACACCCCCTTGACCGATTTTCAAAGATCGATTTCTCAACAGAAGGAAGACTCACAAGGCCGAAAATGGCGGCGTTGGAACCGTCTCGTTGAGAGCTTTTGGAAAATGTATCATTTCGTTTATGTATCCTCTTCGTCGTCGAGTAATCGATCTTTGAAAACCGGGCCAGGGGGTGTGTTATCTTGTGTCATATACGGTAGTCTACAGTAGCCACTTTGCGCATTTGATGCTTCTGCGCTTGCGAAAGGAACGCACCACGGACCTGTTCCACACATCCCCGTGAAATATTCCGCAGCATCACGGGCGCCAAACTACATGTGAATATCTTTATGGAATGGACACGCGTGCTTACAAGGAAAATCACAACGCGCGAAACAGGTTACTGTAACATTGTTGGGTTTCCTCGTGATCATGATCATGACCGGATCACGAACCGCCAAAATCCATGACGAGGCGTACTGCTGTCGCAACTGTCGACGCATAAAGAGGAGGGATCTGTTGGGGAGGTTGACCTTCGCTCATCGAGTTTTCCGTACGTGTAGCACACGGTTGTCTGCGCCCCTTGATGTGTAGTCGATAAAGAAGAACGGGCCCGCTGAAGCAACAGAGCCTCACATGTTCACGAAGGATATGAAAATTGGCACACCACAGCGAGCGGTGGATTCTTTCACTCTAAACTCTAGTTCGAAGAAAATAACAACGTAAAACAACCTGTGCTCGACAACAGATGGTGACGAAATAAGAAACTGAGCCTCGACCTAATCTTGAAGTCTCATATCTCGGGGCTCGTGCTGTGGTACTACAGTGTAGTATGCGGTATTGGGAAGACAACTGCTGCTGCCGTATAATGAGTACACGATTAAAACCACTTCGTTCCAATAAAAACGCTGTAAACCGGCAGCGGAAGTTCGAGGCGACCTGAACTAGGCATTCCTCAGCTGCATCGTCGATGCGACGGGATAAATTATGTTGTCCGACTCGTCATGTTCACCCGTTCGTGCACACCTGCACACATTTTTCTTTCCCTCGAGACGTTCTCCCCATCATGATCGTTCCGGCTGTCTGTTCCCTCTCGACCTGCAGTCGGGCAAGCCTTGAGGTGGCGATGGAGGCTGTTCGACCTTCTCACCGCAATCTTCTTCACTGGCGCGCAAGGCTATTCCTCGTCAGCAGGTTGGGAGTCGTGGCGTTAGGGTGAAACAAATAATTCACGCAAAACAATAATTCTTGTGGACACCGCCGCACCCGTCCCTTTCGTACCGCGTTCAATAGCCAATCAAATGAGTGTCCAAGTGTTGTGAGCATTTGCACCATTTGACCGGGTTTGGTTTTCGATTGTGTGTCAAAACGCTTGCGGTGCCGCGTTGGATGTATATTTCGGAAAACAGCACCACATTGAAACGGTAATCAATAATAGGACCGTACCGTCAACGCCATCAGTCGAGACATGACGTGAGGAAGCAAGCGAAGCAAGCGACGCGTCGGCCGAGAATGTCCAGCATATGGCTCAGATGCCCACCGTTTTGTTTTGTTTCGGCGATATCTAATGCAGAGGGGGTATCTCCTGGTAGCAGGGAGCGAGTTCTTCCCCCCTCTCCCCATCAGCTGAATCCCCACCTCGCCGCTTTGTCACTGCAAATCGTTACCTCCACTGACGGCAATCATCTCCGCAGACTATCCGGACTGCGAGGGATTCATAGGGCGCATCGGCACTGGGATATGCACTCCCGGTACGACAACATAGATGACACGGGGTTTATGTTGATCATTTTTGTCGTGGGCTCCTTGTCAGAAGCGTGCGTAAGGTGTCAAAGCGATCATGCTAGCCCCTTGGCGTGGAAAGCGCATGGGGAGTGTTTTGTGTGGGCGATCGTGACTCCCAATAGGCGCAAGACTTGTTCGTTTTGTCTAAAGCAAAAGGGCCATTGTCAAGTCTTCCAGCTGGTTTGCTTTCCCCCCTCCGTTTGGCGGTTGTCCTTGCCCGGTTTTGATCCGACATCTCTCTGTGGGCTAACCTCATCGTTTCCGCCCCGTGTTTCGTCCCGCAGAAAACAACAACGAGCTATGCGGGTACGACGGCGGCGACTGTGAGTGAAAAACAATTTGAAATATTTGCTGACCCGGTTTCTTGAATACATTTGCCATGATGAACGACCGACTCAGGGAGGAACTTCCCGGTCTGTAGACGAACTGGTCAACGTGTCGGACAATCGGACGTGGACGAAAACAGGAAGGTGCTGGCCCACATGACGATTTCCAGTGACAGAGGGTCCCCGCGGGCTAATTGTATCGACTCGGAGTGGCGATTCCCAGAATGATGTCTTTGACCACGTGCTTAGCGCTTCTCTTAAGGACAACAGCATGTACGCAGCTTTCGACTTGGTGGGAATGCTCGATGAACGCTCGATCTTGTTGGTCGATATATGACGAAAAATCACATTTTCCATGCATTTTTCCAACCCAACCGAAGCCAAAAATGCCCCAGCCAGTCGCTGTTTCGTCGGCAGTGCGTGAAATAGGAACGAAGTGTCGCGCCGCGGTGGAGCAGCTGCAAGGGATCGCCTAAACCGCTGCTCGCGTTTCTATTTATTTAGGTTGCTGGTGTGACTGTGATTCAACTGAGTACCCTTGTGAGGAACAAGGCGATTCGAGTTACAACTGTATCGACCCCGAGACGACCTGCAAAGAAGAAGAAGAAGAAGAAGAAGGTATGCGAAACATTCGCATGCACGTGCCCGGTACAATGTGTTACGTTGAGCTGATTTTCTAAGGAGGCGCATCGTCTGTGCTTTGATGTTAGCTTTCGAAAATGTGCACAGGTTTTTGCCATACATGCCTTGAGAAATGCAGCCAACAGTTGCGGGCGATACAGGCGGAATAGAGGACCCTGACCTGTGTTGGCGGGCTCCCGTCGACAGTGGAGGACCGAGAGCCTTCCTTCGCGTTCATGATTTGTCCTAAATGCGTGGACTACTGCAGCCGACGCCTACGGTGCTCCAATACCTCGACCAATCGCCCACGGTGGCCTGCTGCCCCGGTCACCGCCGCATTCGTACAGATTGCGACTCCGCTTGTCGATGCCAGCGAAGAGTGTAACCTTGGTGTGCGCACGCGCAAAATTCATTTTGTGGCAAGGGCCGCAGCCCAATTGCTGTGGCAAACAATAGCTTACGCAAGCATGCCAAGCGTCAGTCACAATGAAGCGCAGGAGAACGTTAGGGCACTTCTTTGTGTTGTGTTTTCGGCCATGTTTTTCGGCGATTGTTTCGGCGAGTTTCTGTTGTCGCCTGCCCAGCGAGAATCTTGATGACAGCGAGACTGCCCTCTTCGCCCCCATCTGAGCCCCCACCCGCGCCGCTTCGTTTTCCTGGTGTTACTTCCCGCTCTTCCCTCCGTCGACGGCAGTCATCTCCGCAAAATATCCTGACTGCGACGGAGTCTTAAACATTGGTACAGGGATGTGCTCTCCCGGTACGCGTCGATAAAGAGCACATTGATTTCTGTCTCGAACTCCGGTGGAAGATTTGGCCGCCACAACCTTAGGCATGTCTTTGCTGGCCGTAAGGATCATATCATTGCTATGTAGTCTGCACAGCAGATTGTTGCTCTACTTTCGGTTTTGGGTTGGACTGCACACGAAGCGTGGTTGCGTGTCATGATTGTGACCCTTCGTGTTTGTACTCGCAAGACCCGCTCGATTGTCCGCAAGAGGGGGTAGATATACGTCTGATGGGTGCCTTGTTTCGTCCCCAACGATTGAACATATGCCGTCCCCATACTCCGTGGTCTAACCTCATCGTTTCCATTTAATGTTTTCTTCCACAGACAACAACAACGAGCAATGCGGGTACGACGGCGGCGACTGTGAGTAAACCAGACAGCAGTAGAACAATCTGCTTGACCCGACTTCATAAAGACTTTCTTCGTGTTGAGTGACAGGCTAGAACTTGCCCTTCATCCCGTCATGTCCACCAGAACTACCCAACATGTTGGGCAGCAGTTAGACTTGTACTTGAATAGATCGGTGCTGGGGGGATTCGCGATTTCCGGTGACAGGGTCGAGGCAGGACAAAACCAGCTCGATGTGGCGTTTTTCAGAATGATGTCGATTACAATACGACGTGGGTAGCACTTGTTCGCGAAGGGCACGGCGATGTTTCTGGCTTTCGAAGTGGTGCGAATGCTCTTCGAACGGTCAATGTGTTGTTGGTCGATATATTATGACAACCGCCGCCCCTTTGTATGGATTTTCCAGCCCATCCTGAGTCAAGAATGTCCTAGCCAATCGCTCTTTCGTCGGCTTTGCGAGCAATACGCACGAACCGTCGTGCCCCGTTGGAACAGCTGGGAGGTTTTACGGTCGCCCAACTCTCGATTTTTTCAGGTTGCTGGTGTGACTGCAATTCACCCGACTGTGAGGAAAAAGGCGATCCGAGCTACGACTGTATCGACCCCGAGTCGAAGTGCAAAGGAGACGGTATGTGAAACGCCTGCACATACGTGCCTGGTGTGTACGTGGTGTATATGTTGTCTGCTTGTGTTTATTCCTGGGGCAAGCATAGGCTGTGCTTTGATGTTTTGCTAGTATCGAACGTACTCGGCTGCGTGCCTCGAAGAATACAATCCCGAAGTTGGGGGCGAGACAGGAATACAAGACCCTGAAATATGCTGACGGGCTTGCAGTGGCAGTGAGGGACGGGCAGCCTTTTGTCGCCTGCGGTATATGTGTTTTTCTCTCTTCGTGGGCTGCTACAGCCGACGCCTGCAGTACTCCGAAACCTCGATCTATCGCCCACGGTACTTGGCTATCCACCGCAAAGAGTGCAAAGTATAGCTCCGTTTGTCGATCCCAGAAACGATTATAGGCTTGGTGTGTTCATGTGCAAATAACGTTTGTGAAGATTGCCGAAGCGCTAAGGCAAACGCACGCGGGCCGTGACGTCCACGTTGGGAGCCGACCGGGTTCAAACTCTAAGACACTCCGTCTTTACGTTTTGGGCCCAGACAAGGTCGTCGAGGTCTGACATGAAACGCCCACGCCGTGTATCATCGGGATAGAGCCCCAGAGCATACCAAGTTCATGCATGCGAGAACGTTCGGAGAACCTTTCCGAGTATTTGGTCGCGATAATGTGTGCGCTACCACCGTATTCTGGTGGGGAATAATGTGTCGTCACGTCCTTCTCTTACGCCGTTTCTATCGTGTCGCCGCTCTGATTCCCCCTGCCCACCCAAGGCTCCCTGCCTATAAGGGGACTTCAGGAATCGCCACGGGTCGACAACACCGGTGTCCCTACCTCTTCCCCGACCACTGCCGCCCCGATCGCCGACTCTTCCACCTTTTCCCCGACGGCTGCGGCGATGCCGGTGGTGCCCGTTTCCCCCGGTGTATCCCAGCCGACAGACCCATCTTCTGATGGAGGTGAGAGACTTTTGTTTCGGCCGCTTGTTTTCTCTCAAAATTACTTCATGAAGTCATCACCGAGCTTTGCAAGAATCTGGCCGAGTAGTGCGGGCAACAAACCAGGTCTTTCCTTTTCTCCGCCGCTGTCCACTGCCTCAAGTGTTTTTTTCATCTCTTGGCGTTTTTGATGTTGACCTCAATACCCGTCGATGGTCTCTGCCTATAAATTTATTTCCAGTTCCGCTGGGCCCCGTCGTGGGAGGCGTGGTGGGCGGGTTGGTGATCGTGGCGATCATCTTGGCGGTTGCGATCAAGGCCGGTCTTCTCAAGAACTCAAGACATAGCAACACCGGTCCGACCCCTGCCGCCCCCGTTGACCCGGCGTACCCCGCTGCTCTCCAGCAGTATCCCTCACAGTCTTCTGGTCGTCCTACCACCCAGTATCCTGGAGCCCATCAGTATCCCGCACCAGTACAATAAGCCCCGGTGAATTTGGACGTTTAAGACAGTAGATGCTAATAGGCGGAAAGTAGCCTGTGCGCGTGCTCCACCAGTCGAGCAGTTCCAAGAGCAAGGCATTCTGCGTTGCTCGACACACGTTGACGTGAGGTTCTTCAGGCAGCAGGGTATTTTTGGCGGGTATTCATCGGTCGAGAGCCGTGAATAGTTGCCCCTGGGATGTTTTTTTTGTGAGACAGGCCACAAGCTGGCGGAAAGTGCTTGTTCTCTCGGGTCGTGATGGCTTAAGTGAAGGATGGGCGAAGCAGTTGTTCAACACACCCAGGGCTGTTTGGACGATTTTCTCGACTTGTGACCAAGTATCATCGATCCCTTGACATATGCTTGTTTTTCCGTCTGCAAGGAAGGGTGGATCTCAAGACTCTTGTCCGGGGGGCCGATAGCTAAGATCATGTCTCTCTCGATGTGCGCATCGCACACTGGTACATTGCTGTAGAACCGAGCGGCTGCGTCCAGCTCTTTTTTCTTGTCTGCCATACACGTCGGATTGGTTTCCTCAGAGTGTGGCTGAGCCCGGCCGAGCATAGGGCAACTGTGGTGACGATGATATCCACTCTGGGTGAGGTATGCAGCCAATGGCACAACTCGAAAGATCATTGATCGAGATGGTGGGATCAACCGCCTAGCGATTTCATAGATAGGTTTACAAGTCGCCCTCTTTTTGTGGGGCGGAAGAATCAGCAAGATTGAGAAACGTTTGTCCAATACTGTCGGACACGATGGGGCTGCCAAGATGTGCTGGTGTTCAAATATTCGTGGTGTGTGCGTCATTTCCTTAGTTACCGCCAACGCCCTTACCTCCGATAGGCGAGATGGATACTACTTGCGACACTCGTGTGAACACATCCAGCACATCCCATGCTCCCACATAGAATATGAGGAGATACGTGCTTCTCAGGACAGTACACGTCGTTGTGTGGTACTGCCCGCGGAAGAGTCTACGGGACGGTCCCAGCGGCTCACTCTCTTGTGAATCAGCCCCGGCGAACACACGACGCTTGCTTGTTGGTTGTAGACAGCACGGAACCTGTAGCACCGTACACCCCGCTGAAATTCCAGAAGAAGTGTCCTTGGCGGTCTTGTTTTGCCTTTTGCCGCTGTCGCGTGATATATATCATAGCTGGATGCGCACGATCGGCGGGGAAATTCCTTCTCGGAGGCCGCGCGCCCCGAACGGCAACAACAACAACAGCCACGCAGTATTCATACCACAGCGTAATCGGTTCGTTTCAAAATGATGCCATGATGTTGGTAGTTGTGCTCTGTCTACAGTACATCAAAATCGAACGACGGCCACACCTCCGGCGCTTCCAGCGCTTGGCGGCCGCGTCTTCTACGGAAGATGAGATGCCGCAGCGGGGATATCGTTCTGCAGCTGCCTGCACTGACTGTTGGAACACTACTCAATTTCACGCAGTTCTCAGCGACAATCGTTCATTCGGCGCTCGCAGCACATGTATTGTGTTCTCCCATATGTGCTGTAGTACGTGTGCACTGTGCTCCGCGCTGCCGGCGTCGTCGCGTGTAGAGGTCACTTAATTTTGTCGAATTACAGAACCATGTCCTGTTTACATCTTCATGCCCGCTTTGTACACTCCGTTTTCTCCCACATCATAACGGAAACGGCGATGTTGTGGCGGTTCATGGCCATCCGGATACCACTGACCCACAAGAATCACATGGGCCATTCCCGAAAGGAATTCCGTCTCTTGCCTTGGATGGCCACCTCGTCGCTTCTCGGCGGAGACATGTCGCAGTCCGACGGCAGTACCACCGGTTACCGTTCGGCGACGAACCCGAGGTTGCAGCGCTCGGCGACTTCAACGACCGGGTCGTCGTGTGGGTGGAGGCGCACGGGAGTCGATCAGGTCATCCCGATGGCGGCAGGAATTCCTCGCCGCTCCCGGCCCTCCTTTGGTCATTGTCTGTCGAGATCCTCGGTATCCGGGACCGCACGAGAGACGCTGGACCCACGGCACCGGCTTCGCTGCAGACCGCGCCGCCCCGAACGATGACGTTCTCCTTCCGCCCCACTGTGCGGTGAGTGTTTTTGACGGTGTGCTCCTCGTAGTGGTAGGTGCGTTGGCCGTTGTACAAGTGCCGATGGATGCCAATCAATCTCCCTGCTTCCTTTGCTCGGGTTTCGTGCCTTAGGGTTAAGGTTAAGACATCGCGGGGCTTGAGTGCAATGTCCCCGGCTGTTTAACTCCTGTCGTTTGTCGTGCGTTGAGAACGTGCCGGCGTCTTGTTCCGCCCCGTCCTAAAGCTGCTTTGGTTTGAAGTGCTGGCTTGCTTTACCGTCATGATGTCGGGACGCCTCTACTCACGTGTGCTCGGCATACCGTAGTCGTGTGTTGCTCATCAACGTTTCTTTGCTGACCGGGGACGACGTCCTTTTCCTCTCCCGATTCCCCGCTCGCTTTCTTTCGATCGCTCCACACGACAGAACCGGGACGCGTGCCTACAACAGGTGTTGTACTTGGTCGACCTCCAGTCGCCCAAGACGCCTACGTCGAGTGTCCGTTGTCCATGTTTCATCTTGACGTCGCTCGGATAGAAGCAGACCCACCACCTTGGGTTGCGTCCATGCATTCCACGAAAGCTGTCTCGAGGACCTCATCAGGATCGCGCACTTGGGAGCCCTTGACTTCGGAAGTTTTCGTCTGGTCGCCGAAGTGACGTGCCCGTACTGCGGGCAAGCGGTGTGCCGTCGGAGATACTTTGTTCGGTAAGATCGGATGCCGGCTTCCTCGGCTCGCCGCCGGTCCGAAGGCGGTCGCCCGGGAAGATTGGGGAAAACTGGGCCGAAAAGGGTGTTTCCCTGCCTTTTGGAACTGCAATAGTCTACAGTAGCTAGGCGTCATTCCCTGCAAATGTGTTTCCTCTTTGTCCATGTGACTATGCCGGAAAGTTTACCAGAATAGACAATCCAGGGCAGACAGTACCAGACGCGGCACGACCCGGGGGTCTCCCGTGCTCGCCAGGGGTGTGTCGCATGAAAACATGGGTTTCTCTGTGTCGTACAGATTGAGATCCCCCCCCGCAGCATGAGGTGTTTGGCACCTTCGTTTGAAGCATGTTGCTACTTGCTGCTACCGCGACACGCGTCGCAGCGGTTCACATCGCCCGAGGCACCACACAAACAAAGCTCCAACATTTGATTCACCTGAACCATGCGGCACTTCGTAAGAACAATCGATCATCCGTCCCACATTGTTATGGAAAGTTACGGTGGTATGGGGAACGGGATTTCTGCATGGAAAGCCCTGAAGGAGCGGTTCGACGGCAACACCAAACAAGCCAGGCGTGTTGCACGGGAAGAGCTCTTCCGGAGCACAATGGACGAACACGTCGACCCGGAGGACTTCTTCGCGAAAACCGACCGCCTGCGCCACCGTCTCGAAGAAAAGGGGCAGGATATCTCTGATGAAGTGTACGAGTCCTCGCTTCTATACGCCCTGCCGGAGAAATTCGCGTTCATCAGACACCGACACTACGAGGATGACTCTCTCGATATCGATTCGCTGAAAAAGACCGCCATCACCTATAACATAGACATGAATGTAACGCCTAATATTTCAGGGTGCGGAATGGCAATGGGGGTGTCTGACGCAGGAACGGGCTCTTGCTGCAAGGCGTGCGGACACTGCAAGACCGACGGAAACCAAACCAACAAAAAGGAGTGGAAGAAAGGCAAGACAGGCAGTGGTGGCGGACAGCCCAAGTGGTGCTCATACCACAACACCACTACACACGGTGACAATGAATGCCAAAAGCAAAATGAGCTAAAAGGGTGGGCTGCAAACCTGGCGCTGCTTCAATCTGCTGGCCACCGAAACGTCTCCAACGTCGGGAGCGCCCACGTAGCGCAATCTCACGGACCGCAGGCTTCCATCAACTTTGGAAGCGCCCACCTGGCCCAGCATCAGGGACCCGAGCCATCCACGTTCGGATTCTCTTTCAACGCTATAAGGGAGACCCTGCCTGAGACTTCGGCGAACGCGACACCTTCAATGGCCCAGAAGGACTCTCATCTCCCTGACGGGTTGTTTGGCGCGTCTTGATTCTACAAGTTCCATCGTACAATTCTTCTCTGGGGGAGTTATGGCGCGTCTACTTCATCGCTTCACATATTTCGCCATCACCGAGAACAACATTCTACATCTTCAACTCCGTCTTTCAAGATCAACATCAACATTTTCATCTTCAACGTTATCAATGTTTGTATGTTTGTCATCTGTTGTCTGTTGTGTGAATCAGTCTACTAGTTCAGTCGTTAACTTCTCGACTTCGCACCATTGCTGGTTGAATAGTCACCTAGGCTAGGTTGAAACTGTACTTTCGTTTAACGCAGGAAAACAGGGACAGTACTCTGCAAGCACATTTTCTATTTATCTTAGTGGTTGACGCATCAAACGGATTTGTTTCTTATACTCAATTTTCTCTTCGATTCAATGCAACTTTCATTGAGGGGGAGTGTTATGGAAGTATTGGCTTATGTCCTGTACTGTAGTCAATGTTCAGCAGCATTGCTCTCTATCGTAGATCATGCATCGTAGATACTGTGTGTTTCGGTTCACACGTAACGCATCAGTATGCGGAGGAATTACTGCTGTAGCACTCTCTGCTCGAGGGATCGCGTGTCTCTCACTCTCGCATGATCTCTCGCATGGACTTCTCTGGATAGTCATGGCTCTTCGCTTTCCCGGTCATCTCTAGGAACTGACATCCTCTGGACTTCTGCGTTCTCTGTGGATCTATCTGCGTGTGTCGGCCAACTAAGCCAGTGTTCAACATATCTTTACGTCTCTACACAGCACAAGAAGTACTCCTACTTCTGCTCTTCAATCACTCGCGGTGCCAACCATCTCGAGTACCATCGAGAGGCACAGCCTTGCCGACTTGTCAAGGGTATCTCAGACGATATTCACAACACACATCAATTCGACAACCATAGATATTGTTCCTTATACTTGTGGAGTGATCAAAACCGCGTAAAAAATGAAAGTTTGTCCCGTCTGGTAGTACTCGGAGGGAGTTTTTGCGTTTTATAAGCAGAGACACGTTAGGATACCGCAGAGGCTTTGTGCCGTGCGGAACGTGTGGTACGGGGGATGTCTCCCGGCCACAGAAATATTAATCAAGGCAATTCGAAAGAAAACAATAAAATTGTTGCTTACAAAATGCATTCACTCATCATCAATCAAACAATTCGGCACATCCCTTCCACCGGGTCATCACAGTTCGGCAGGTTAGGCTTGTTGATCACTCCTAGAGCCGGAGTGCTTGCCGGGTATGCCCGTATTTGTGTCCAGTGACTAGAAGTCTCGTTGATAGCTTGTATTAGATCCGCAGGACGAACGCACGACAGACAGAGAAGAAAGAGAGTGCCCCACACAGGCTGACGAAGCATGGGGGCAACGCAGACTCATCCAAGTCTACCACAACAGGTACCACAGCAGGTCCCTTCATCTACGGAACACGGAACCGTCCTCAGATCCTTCCTACATATGCACACACACGAACACCCTCCCTGGTTCCTTACGCTAGTAATTAACCACCACCGTGTGTTGCTCAACGTACTCGGACACTCAAACAGAAAAAAAAGGCGTTGCAAGGGAAAACCCGGCCTCCGAGCCAAAAACCCTCGCAATAATTCCACGACTACCGAAATAAAACATCATCGTTGTCATCTCAACTACTCCAATTCCCTACAAACGAATGCCAATTGCAGCGTTACGTTGGCATTTGAATTACTTCAATTCCCCTACATGGCGACATACCAAGCGGACCAAACTACATCGATGGTTCGGATGATCATCTCAACATTTTCAGGGAATAACAAACATATAACTATACCAACGTTAGCTGAACACAGCTGTGCTCCCCCGTGACATCTGGCCTACAATTCGAACAACAAGGAACGACGTTGATAAGGTCCAAACACGGTAGCGACTGTTGAGGGGAGGTCGTCAGAGGCATGCGCGTTCACTAACATCGGGTTAACGCCACAATGGATGCCCTCCCATATTGTGCGACTACACGCAAAAAAACTCGAATTGCTACCAGTATTCCCTGCTACAGGTACCAACCGGATTGTCGGTCTTGGTAGAGGTCTTCTCTCCATTGCCAAGCGGACTCCGGCTCCTCCCAACCACCGGCAAGAAAAAACCCTGCGGCTGCTCACCACCCTGGTAAGCGCGCCGACTACAACGACAAATGCCCACGCTGCCCCCCCTACATCTGGAAGCGCGTTGGCGGAGATCTGTGATGACTGCTGTGCAGCTCCCCCCTTCATCTGGAGAACCGTCCAACCGAAAAGTCCTGCGCTGCCCCCCCTTCATCTGGAGGCGCGGAGGTGAAGAAAATGCTGCCCGTCCCCTACATCTGGAGAGCGTTAACCCGCGTTGCCCCCCCTACATCTGGAGGCGTGCCGGTGAAGAAAAGTTGCCCTCCCCTACATCTGGAGAGCGTTGACCCGCGTCGCCCCCCCTACATCTGGAGGCGTGCCGGTGAAGAAACGTTGCCCTCCCTTACATCTGGAGAACGTACACCCGCGCCGCCCCCCCTACATCTGGGGGCGCGCTGGTGAAGAACTTCTGCCCTCCCCTACATCTGGAGAGCGTTGGCCCGTGCTGCCCTCTCTGCATATGGAGGTGCACGGGTAAGGAACTACTGCCCCCCACGTCTGGGGTGCGTCGGCTGGCGCTGCCCCCCCTACATCTGGAGGCGCGCTGTTGTGTAACCACTGCTGTACGTCCCTCCCCTACATCTGGAGGGCGTATACTGATGCCCTCCCCCTTTTTTTCTGGGGAGAACACCTGTGAGATATTTTACGCTACCCCCCCTACATCTGGGGGTGCGTGTTAGTACCCTCCCCTACATCTGGAGAGCACACCTTCGAAATTTTGCGCTACCCCCCCTTCGACTGGGGGTGCGTGTCAGTGTCAGTACCTTCCCCTACATTTGGAAAGCACAATTTTAAGAACTCACGTCGCCCCCCCTACATCTGGGAGCGTGGAGTGTTGGGGCTGGGGATAATGGGTTCCCTACCTTACAAGGCTTCGCACGCAAGATCTAGCTCATCTTGCGACATTTCGACCGCCAATACCGCTTCCTCTTTCGACAACATAATTGACTGTATCATCGTAAGCGAAACTGCAGACGCTCTACGAACACCGACTCAGAAATAGAAACGTCTGAACTGCGAATCCCCTTCAGAAACTTTGGTATCATTCGTCACAAGCAAGATCACTCAAGAAATCACTCATGAATCAACCTGAAATCAAGTGTCCGCGGCACACGGCAACGCCGCGCTGTTGTTAGCCCTCTTTCAAAAGCAAAGCAGTATTGCGCGGTTTTGCTCCTCTGCAGCAAGTCGACATTCACCAGAATCGCCATGAATGCAATACTCCAGCTCTCTCGGAGCGAGTACTTGTACTTTTCCCGCGATCAACAGGCTCGTGTGTTGTGCCGCCCGCTACTCCACCGCTGACGCCGCCGCTGTCCCGAGCGCCAGGGCCCACAGTATCGGGTAGGTTCCCTGCGGCGGAACCCCTCCCGGTTCCCCCTAGGATTCCAACCGCACCCCCCACGGCGCCCCCGTCCGCCACGGCGCCGTGTGACCCTCCTCCTCCTCCTCCGTCTCGCGTGGGCTGCTGGAGCAAATGTGCCTCGAAGCTACCGAGTGGCTGCTCCATCCTCGCCTCGGCCCTGTTCTGCTTCTCCTCAAAGCGTTCTGTCAACGCCCGCTTAACATCTCCGAGTTTAGCGGCGAGCTCCTGCTGCGAGACTCCTCCCGACATGTTGCTGGCACGGGCTCTTTCGTTTCCTTGCAAGGACGATGGAAAAAGAAAGAACTCTAGAGTGTTGATCACTCCTAGAGCCGGAGTGCTTGCCGGGTATGCCCGTATTTGTGTCCAGTGACTAGAAGTCTCGTTGATAGCTTGTATTAGATCCGCAGGACAAACGCACGACAGACAGAGAAGAAAGAGAGTGCCCCACACAGGCTGATGAAGCATGGGGGCAACGCAGACTCATCCAAGACTACCACAACAGGTACCACAGCAGGTCCCTTCATCTACGGAACACAGAACCGTCCCCAGATCCTTCCTACATATGCACACACACGAACAAGGCTCTCTGGTCGTACGAATATTTGTCAAATACTTGTAGTGCTACCGCATATTACATCACGGTGTTGCATATTCGTTCATGCAGTTTGTTGTGTATGTTGTAGACCGTTTTGATCGTGTATTCCCCCGGACCCCGGACCATCGTGAAGATATGATGAGAACATTTGTTTTGACGTGTGAACATGTTCATACCCCATTGGCTAGAAGCTGCCCAATAAAAATAGGCCCTCGGTGGGTCTTTTCGGTCAGGCAAGTCCTGCGTTCCTGCCAACATTGTTCAAGACGTGTGCGTAGAGGGTGAGAATTTCAAGCCTCTGCCCGTCAGCGAGACTCCTCCTGTGTCACGTCGTTCGCCGTTCAGCGCTGTTTTCTTATCCTCCATCACCGAAGGAGCTACAGTAAAGACAGCAATTCTCCCCAATGTCCGAACAGGTGGGTCGGGAGAAGTTGAAAGACGGGCAAACACGCGGATCGGATCGAATGTATGTGTAGACGTATACCGCACAACTACATCAGCAAACTGCACGGCCGGACATTGGAATTGGAGCTGCGGCATAGGGAACAGTTGTATCTCTTGTGCGTGTTCCGTGGCTTTATTCTTCACTATCTTGTACCACTTAAGTGTGCACTTAGGTGATAGTGGTACGGATGGGCCGCTTCACGGGCTTAAACAGTGATGGTATATTGACATGGTCGTCGGACTGCTTGAGTCGTGTATTCGACATAGTATCGGCCATCACTCATGTGACTGCTAAGGAAACGTGTGGTGGCCGATGCTGAGATAGACTATGCTGCGGGCTTCCCGAAGGGCCCTCCTCGTTGGGCGCTCAACGGTTTCCGCGGGAGCGACGATACTTACTGCAGGGGCCACTGGATGTCATACATGAGGTGCTGTGTTTGGAGATTGTATTGCAGCGAATGGGCTTGAAGCCCTCAATCGGGCAGCCTATTTATCGGCGTGGGTACTGCCATACGTGCGGCGAGGTGCAAAAACACGTGACGGTCTGGACGTGCGGTTCACTTTGTAGGCTAAAGGCGAGATAAATTTCGATGTGCGAATGGGTGAAAGCAAACGCCAAGAGCGGAGGTGACGCGTTCCTCACTCAAGATATGCATACAGTAGACCATATCTCACTCCATTTTGCGAGTGTATACCATTGGTATGGGAGCGTAATCGACCGCGGGGTCGGCGTTGAGTTCGTTACACTGCTATAATACAGTAGATATATTTCAGGCAGTCATGCATGCCGCTACATGAGTAGCGTGGGTCAGTCATCGCCGCGGGACACAGCGAGTCATTCTTTCAAGAAGCAAGTTCACCGCGGCGATGGTGTTCATGCCTCGCTCCCGAAGAAAGTTGTGCGTTTGGCTGGCGGGGAAAACTGCCATTTCGGCAGGCCAGCAGAAAGCGGTGTACGTATCGATCTACACCGCATACAGACGTATACAGTACACAGTACAGTAGATACATGTGACCCGTAGAGGCGTACAGAACGGGCCCGGGGACAAGAAAACGCCAATATCGGGTGGAGGATCAGTTTTCTCATTTCATCTGTCGAGCACAGCTTGGTATACGGAGTTTTCTGTAGTTAGTGTAGGATCCCCCGCTGTGAGCTGTGTTTCTAAAACCCTGTGTTCTACTCTATGCTTCGTGAAATATACTTTACTGCGGGCCGTTCTGTACACTGGTAGATACAGTAGGTGCTGTTCGTCAACATTGATGCAAAAAGCGTCCTTGTTTCAATCACCGAACACGTTTGTTCGTCCGTGGCTCTGAAGCCCCGCGTGTGCTTTGGTCGATGTTCACCGCAATGAATGTTCAAAATGACTTGATGTACCTTCTGTAGATGCTGACATGTTGCCCTCACAACATACCGTCATTTTTTAACACTCCGCTTGTTTCGCTTCTAGGGATACGACCCAACACAGACGGGGGTTGGGGTAGGACCTGATCCTGCGCTTGAAGCCTTCAATGAAGCCCCCATCACGGGTCTTCTATCCGAGGTAACCGCTTCCTCTGCACTACGAACCCTGGCTCGACCTCCCTCTCACGTGGCACAACATGCAACATGGATGCAGTGAAACAGCGATGGCGGAAGAAATTCGCCACGAACGTGTGCACACTGGACTCCGGACTGCTTCTGTGATGTATTGTATGTAGTTGTGGTTGGTGAAGAGAGAGCAGGATATATTTTTCGCGAGGAATAACTACATACCGCAGCAAGAAATCTCATCGCGGCAAGGAATACAGTAGGCCAACGTGTGAAGGTGTGAATACATGTATGTACAGTAGTTTGGTCTTTTGTATCTATTCCCTTGCTCAAGCGAAAATATTGGATCTATAGCATCGTGAACCCTCACAGCTGGTGGGCGACGACATTGTTCACTACATGTAAGACAAAATGTGTGTGTGGGGGCGGGTCAAGTTTCTCACTTGCCACCCCGATCTCCCACAGTATTTCACAAATGTGTACCGCTTCCATGGAAGACTATATCAGCTTCCATGGAAGTTGATCTACTTCCGTGGAAGCTGATACCTGTTCGATGGAAGATACACGCTTCGCACTTTCATGGAAGCGCGAAACGACATTTCCAAGGGAGCGATATTCACTTCCATGGAAATAAAGATATGAAATATGGATGTGCCACTTCCATGGAAGTTCACTTCCACAGAAGTCCTATGGAAATCTCGTGGAAGTTGAATAGCTTCCATGGAAGCCTGAGGTTCTGCTTCCATGGAAGCTATTCAAAACAGGTTGAGGGCTGCTTCGATGGAAGTATTCAGCCTCGGGTTGGCTTCAACGGTCTTACCGGGAATAGGTACATCTAACCGAGGTACAGCCGAAGAAAGGGAGTCACAACCACACTAGACGAAAACGGCTTATAAGCTAGTACCGTAGACGATAAACAGCTAGAGACTGGCATTGAAGTACTTCCCAAGGCAATACATTGCGAACTCTAAGCTTGTGTACCCCTGCGTACCGTCCTTCTCGAGGTTCCCGGTATCGGACCTGCGTTCTCAGGCCTACTGGGAGAAGGAGAAGGCGAGGACTGCATCAAGAACACGTTCCAGCTGATCGGGAAGTTCTTGGTGTTGCGAACATCGAATGAAGAAGATGGAAAGCTGGTGCGCGCTACTCTGTAGTCGGGGTGTACGTTTGGTCATATCATTAAATCGATTCTCACCACATAGACCACAGTAGGGGTCACCAACCTGTACTGCCGTACGGTATCCGCAATGTAATTGCCTGATGCATGGCTTCCGCGATCGACCAGCGAGGGCTTGGTCTTGGCCGCGCACTAAACCTCTTACAGGCAGTAGACAACGAGCAATATCAGCTCGGTGCACCTTCGCATACATTACGATCGAAAATTGTGTCGCGTTTTCTGTCGGTGTGTTCTGTTTTGTGTCTGTTGAAGATCGATTGCGTCGAGCACTGCGATAAATTTTATTGGTGGCTGCAGTCCAAAGGAATCGGCGGTGTTCGTGGTCGCATCGTCCAATGCATTGCCGAGAAGGTCAACATGTCATACCCTGGTGAGTTACTGTAGAAATAGCGCTTAGCGGTTGTAGACAAAATAGATTGTGCAGTCTAGTTGGGGAATCCCGGGGTCCCCCAAGTCCTACAGTGGTCGGTCAAATAAAGGATAATATGTTGTGTACTCTATTGTATTGTAGTCTACGTATGTAGACTAGTCTCTGCTGTACAGTACATAGATACAGTAGATCAAATGTGCACCGACGGCATGGAACATCCGATTACCTGCACGGAAGCCAATCTCCGGCCTCCGCATGACGAGCGAAGTCAACTGCAATGGTAGCGATCAACAGCTACCACAGATCTCATGCCTGCTTCGCTTTTGGTCGAGCACCCACCGTCCGTACGTACTACTATTGTAGGCAGTGTGCGCCACCCGAGGAATACCTTCTTCTCGGGCTCGGGTTTGCTCGAACCCCGTCTCCACCCTCTTTCCCCTCCCACTACTACCACCTCTTGCAGGAATATACAACAGTAAGGCGTGGACTGGCCCCAAGGCCGAGGAGAAAAATTGAGCGCGGTGTAGGCGTCGAGCTCGGCCGGCACCGCGCGCAAGCGGTGCTCAGTCACATAGTCTAAATGGCGTAGGGGGTTTCTCCGTTTGATGGGTGTTTGAGCCCACGTGTCCGTAGTGTGTGGGGGGGATGTTCTTCGTTCATTTCCTGAGCTTTCTCGTACTGCTGGTTGCCTACGCCGAGAGAGTGCTGATGATTGTCGAGCGCCCGTGTGCCGCAGTGTCGTGGGGGTGTTTTTCGTTTGAAGGGCATTTTTCGTGTTGAGGCGTGCCTGATAGTTCTGCGAGGGTGCTGGTGATTGTGCGAAACCGTGCCGAGAAATGATGGCACGTCGCCGCTTGATTGAAAGTGAAAGGTATCCAGGGTGTAGCCTATTTTCCCACTTTCCAAACTTCTTGAGGGTGAACCCACGAGAATCAGCACCGGATACTTCACTTCTTCAAATTTGGGACGGGAAGTTGTAGTCATACGTACATTCCACATGTTTCTCTAGAGGGCATCAATGGTGCTTCGACCATCAGGGGCCTAACAATATTGTTCTTGACTTTTCGCCAGTTTCCGCGGTGACACTGGTGTATGCGTGGATAGTCTTCATTTCGTTTCGAAATACTGGCTGGCGAATACTTCCGGTCAATTCCACCGAAGCGCCTTTCCTCGAGTCCCCCGTCAAACCAAACCAAATCCCCACCACTTATGAATCAACGAAGACAGCGAACGAATCCCCCCAAGAGATCGCTGTACAAATAATACAAACTAGGGTTAAGGATTGGCCCCCCGCCCCCCAATGGGGCTGTGGGCCAACATCCAGGACGGATGGTGGTGAGTGTCCAGGAGGACGGAAAGAAGAAGAAGAAGGGGAGAGGATTTGTAAGGGCGGAAAGAAGGGACGGTGTTTGGAGAGGCAAGGAAGTGACGAAGAATTTCGGCACTCGACGAGCGCGCGGTCCCGTCGGAGGTGAAAGGAACATGTCAGTCCGTAGTCTTGTCTATCGGAATCGAAAAGCCGAAAAATGGAGGTATAGTATACATTATGTACACAACGACGGAGAAGAAGGCCGACGAGGAAGGTACGAAGAGAGGAAATTGCACCCCACGTTCGAACTCGGGGTGAAAACCGCCGCAAGGATGGAGTGCGAAGGGAACAAAAAAAAACCGGAGACGTCGACGTTTGCGTGGTGGAGCGACCCTTCTGTATATCGCAGGTACTCACCAACGCAAGACGGGGAGGTGAAATACCCATCGTGAAAGTCAAAGCGCAGGTCATAGCTGCATATATATGACTCATGCGCGGAGAAGCTACCACACGGAGACTTATCAACAAGAAGTTTGAAGGCCGGCTGAGAAGGTTTGAAGACACAAAACACCTACGCGGCGACGATGGCAAGCGCAACGTCAAAACTTCACAAGAAGAAAAGTGCATACAAAAAAAGAACGAAGAAAAGGCCGGATGGCGACCTATGGCTCTCTCTCTCGGAATGAAGGGATTCCCACAATTTCCAACAGAACAGGTAGTCCACAAGTATCGAGGAGGACGTCGGAACGGTTTTTAATGTGGAGACAACAGCAACAACAGCAACGATGAAGGTCGACCCGTCCTGCGTCGTTCAGTGTAAAATGATAAATGCAAAAGATGTACTGCGTAAAGATCCAACGGTCTTCTTCGGCAGTGGCAAAGAAATATGCGACCACATGCCGCGAAAAAAAAAAAAAGTTGAGCGGGATACTCTATTACAGTAAATAGAACACCGCCTTCTCTGTTTGTTGTTGCAGGCAGGTTTGCTTCCACAACCCGGGAGTCCAATCCACTCTTGTATTTCGGCCTACAAGACTCCAACCGACACAAGCACCGGCAGGAGAGTGCGTGGGAGATGCCGTGACAGCACAACTCCACTCTCCTACGACATCCATGTACAGTAGTAGTACTGCTGTCGTTGTAGCACCATGTGGAACATCTCCGAGGGGTCCTCCTGCGCGGTAACGACAACATGGCGAGAGCTCTACGTGTACCTGTCGTCGACACATGTGGCAGCCGCGCGACACACGAGCGGATATTTGCATCGCATTGTACTGTGGTTCGCCGTGGCAGGAAGTATCCCATCCCGTTAGGTCGTTGCGGTACTTATAGCACGCGGACGTCGTTCGGCGTCTAGTCCATACTGCTGTAGCAAAAACACAGCAGCAGTATAATCGAGCTATGCATGAAATGTTTTGCTCTGGTTCACTTTTGCCTCCACAACCCGAGAATCCCACTGCTGTATCTCGACCTACAAGACTCCAATCAACAAACCAGCACTGGCAGAAGTGCGTGGAAGATGCTGTGACAGCACAACTAAGTCGACACTCGTACGACTTCCATGTAAAGTCGGCGTCTGGTCCATACTGCTGTAGAAATACAAAAATCGAGCTATCTTTTTTTTGTTTTTTTCCATACTAATAACAAGAAATGTATCACGTCACGACGACCATCCTGTAAGTATAGACTTAACTACATTTATGTCGGAGGCCTGAGACGCAAGAGTTCAACCATTGTTGCACTCTAAAAGCAAGACGTTTTTTTTTGGTGCATCAGTTCGCGGTCGCCTTGAGACTTTTTTTTCGCCGGCTGTTGCCCGCTGCAGCGGGCCAGTCTCTGGATCGCATCGCCCCTGTCGCGAGCTCGAAACTCCAAACGCGAGTAGAGTTACAGCACGGTGAATGCACGCAACCATTATTATTTCAGTCATTGAGCTAGACGTTGCGGTGCGGTAAATCGGTTTTAATTGTTTTTAAATGGGGTTCAAACAATTTTTTCGGCCGTCTTCGCCGACGTGGGCGTGCCACTCTCGAGACCACAGCGCCCTTGTCGCGAGCTCTAGACTCCAAGGGCGAGCCGAGTTACAGCACCGTGAAGTACGGCTAAATATCGTGCATCCGGGCGCGTCTACGCAAGGGACATCAAGGGACTGTGATCTCTAAAGAATCACGAAGCTCATTGGACGAGATTTCGGAGAAAGTCAACTCATAAATCATGACACATACGTACTTGAAGTACAAGCATACATGCAGTACCTAGGACAGACTTTTTTTTGCCGCATGGTCTCATCTATCTGTAGATAGATATCGACAGACTGTCCGTACTACGCGTAAGCAACGCGCGGATGGTTACGTACTACGTATGTATATGCCACACACGTCCAAGACGCACATATTCTACAGCTAGCTGTAGTAAGGAAGATTGGACAAATAAATAAATTTAGATTGATTGTTGTTGTTGTTGTGGTATGCCACAACTTTAGACTTCGATTGCTTTGTTTTGAGCTTGAACATGCACGTAAATCTCACGGCAACATCAATGGCTGCAAGTGCTGCAAGGTTGGGGGCATATGTCTTCTGAAATACTGTGAACACTGCTGTTGTTGTATTGAAGGTAGGTGCTGCTGCTGTAGACTGCGCTATATCGTATATCTATGTACAGTTGTTAAACAAGAGAGATGAACTTTTCGTGATACCACACCACACCGTTTCATGGAATAATTGCTGGAAGTTAGTCAGAAGTTAGATATTTGCTGGAAGTTTGTCAGAAGTTTCTCTGTGCAGAGTGAATGAAAGAGTGCACATTTCGTCGAATGTTCCGAATTTATTTCCTCTCCAAGTTAGTCAGAATTCAATCTGTAAAGAAAGCGTGAAAACGTGCTCCAGCCCCACCGGCCGCACCCGGTCACTTTCATTTTCGACATCCTCCCCTCTCATCCCCGCATCGACCTTCAGCTGCAACACAACATGAACGCCCTCTCCCGTAGCTCCCCAGCAAAGCGCAAGTCCACCCAGTCAGAGAGTCGTAGTGGAGAGTCCCGCCGCCCTGTACAAAAGGCCGACACCAACTGGCTGGCCTTACCCCGGGCCCGACTGCGACGACGGCGGTCACCTTTAGCTCATGAACAAGCTCGACGGTAAAGGCAAGTTTGCCCCTTGCGACCGTAACAACAACCGCGACGAGGACACAGTTGTAGCGTATCCTGCACCATCCTCACCCCGTGGACAGCGTACCCCAAGCCGTGCCAGCTCTGCCTCGCCCCGGTGGGAGGTACTCCTTCGCTCGGGATCCCAACCGAACAGGTCAACAGCCGCGGCTACAAAGAAAGGTAAAAGCATTTTTTCTCTTTAATTATATCAAGTAAATATCCGCCTGATATGTGCCCGAATGTTGTTCAGGTGTTGCATGAAGCCCTGACATGAAACTGCATCGCAACCGCCACCGCTAAATCTCTCCACAACAATGCCCTTTTTGCTTGCTGTTGTTGTCAGAGTGGAATAATATCCACGCGGTGTGGCGTCTTTGCGCTGGTGCCAAGTCTTCGGACGGCAAGAAGTTCAAGCACGTCATCGTCGCCCCCGCCAGCCTTATCGGGGTAATCATGTGTCCACCCGTTTACATCGGAACGTGATTGTGTAATGAACAGTCGTGTGTGTGCGTAGTTACCTAGATATGGGTGCGCGGATGCATCCGACTGTTGCTGTAAATTAGTTGTTTCCCGTATGTCACAAAAGTACACGGTCGACGTCATGAAAAAATTAACATTTTTTAGTATGGGCAAACCATGTGACATTTATTTCTTATATTTTCCCCTGTCAGTACACCGAGTTCAACCGTCGACGTCATAAAATAAAATATCATTATTTCTTTATGTAGTAAAACCATGTGAAATTTACTCCTTATATTTTCCCCTGTCACCCATCCGATATCCACTGCAAAGGTGTACTGTGAGTGTTCCGACGCAGCGACTAACGAGGAAGACCTGGCCGACGGGTGCACGGGCGAGATCGTCGAGGACGACCTGATCATGAAGGATTGAGACTTCCCGCCGCTGCACTACCAGTGCGCCCGCCGCCTGTGGGACCAGACCATCAACGAGATCCTCAACAAGACCGACGGGCACCGCGACCTGGGAACTACCCACGACAAGGAGTCTTACCAGCCCTCTGCCACCGTCCCGGCCGCCCTCGCCGACCTCTAAAGTAAG